TCGAGCATCTACTCGCAACCACAGTCTATATGAATTCCCTATCTCCCCCTTGAATTTGCCCTTAACATTCCAATCTTTACTCTGCTATTTTATCCAAATGGTCAAGTTTAAGACAGCAACCAAAACGGGTGCACAAAAGTGCATGGTTAATGGTTGTAAAAACGGAAACTAATTTTCGGGACTTTATGAACTGACGGATACGATAATAATGTGTTTATTTGCACTGCTCGATGTGATTCGGACTTCGTTGAACCATATACAATAGCCTACTTTGGATCGATCTGTAATCACCATTTCTCGATCAGGTTTTAAACTTGTATCCCCCCGGTGATGTGTTGTTGGCTTTCCTTATCCGTGTTCATAATAAGACTGAAGCCAACGTCAGTGTTAATTTAGGAAACACTTACAAGCGGTTGCTTTTCCAGTCCCATAGGATTTAGCACTGGTGAATCGATTCACTGTTCATAGAAAGTTGAGGAATGTCACAATTTATCCTTGTTTCGTGCACTGCTACGGATGTTGAAATTTGAGACTTGTCAAAGCTTCATTCAATTTGTGCTTGAAGGAACCAATTATGAGAGCAGAAACAACATGTGGTGGTAGACAAATCTAAGTGCTGCACACTCTGAGGGCGAATGAATAACGCCGGCATTCTATTCGACATTTTTGAAGCACTAATTTGAATGAGTGCCCCCTCAGGTGAGTGTTTGGCGACATGGATGATCAGGGTTCTGCATTATTTGATACACGAAAATCAAGTCCCCTCGACTTCGGCGATACTATGTGGATTACAGTTGCAGTGCTCCCAGTCTTGACCATTTTCGGTGGCCATTCTTTGTGGACGTTCCAGGATCTTCCGATAGCGTTGCAACCATGGATTCCACGCTTCAATTGCATACCCCATGTGGGGCCGAATGTAGGCTGAAAACAACCGTGGAAACAGCGTAGGTTCAAATTTGCCAAATATTCGCTTTAGCAAACCAACATGTTACAGCGATGGACGACGCACTTTAAAGAACAACTTAGGTCGTCTTTGACAACGACACCGCGTACCTTCTCAGTCGAGAGATACGGAAGTTGCTGATATCCCAGGAAATACTGAAAACGAGTTTTGTGGCGAATGGATACGACCGTACATTTTGATGCATTAAATTCCATGTCGTTTCCAATCGACCTTTGGTAGGCAGCATTAAGTGTTCTCTGAAGTGCTAGCCAGTCCTCTGGTTTTATCCTCGTTTTCCATATTTTTTGCGTCGTCTGCAAACAATAGCGCTTGTGGCTCCAGAATGTCCGTTTGATCGTTTATAAAAACAAGAAAAGGTTGAGGGCCTAGCACGGGCTACGCTGATAGGATCAGAAAGTGACCCGGAAACCCGAATGGCCATGGTGAGGAATACAGTGAAACGAACTTCACTGATCGCTTCCAAACTGCTGTCCAGTTCACCCTAGCCCAACTCTACCATTCACTGCAGAAAAATCCGTTTTCCTGAGCGCTGCCTGCAAATAGCACGCTTTTGCGTCGATCGTATACGTGCAATTTACGGATACTGACGTCCTAGTCTCCGATATCTAGAAGAGTTCATGCGTTCCAGTATCCTGTGTAGGAGTGTTTTCATGGTTGATGAAGCTCACTTCGCATTATTGGCATCGTGGACGCTGGATCAATGCAAGTTTCATGTCCGGGAACGCCGCATCTTGTATAACCCAGTGTGTAGACAAATTGATAATAAAGTCTTCCGATAGTCTGAAGATATCCCCAGATTGACGTTTTTATTTCTAAGATCTGCTTTTTACACAGCCATATGTGGATTGTGGGGGACGACAGGGTGTCCGATTATCTTTACCGGTGACTTCTTTGTCGCTGATTTGCTCTTCCACTGCTGTGGATTCAACTCATGAGGTCCTGCTAGTATGACAGACTTTCCGTATGACCGTTGAATTCGCCTGTCGATCTCATCTATCCACTGAGGGGCAGCTTTGTTCTNTTGTTCTCATTGAGGTTTTAAATCTCAGTTTCCCTCCATCCGGTTTATCGGGATGTGGCCACAAATGTACATATGTATGCATCAGCATCTTGCAGTCAGGATACTTTTTCATCCGTGTATATTGCCTCGAAACGGAGGTCGGGCTATCGATTGAGATCACATGATATCTTTCTATTGTATCCCTTGAATAGTTCGTTATTGATCCTAGGTTCACTGTGTTTTCGCAAATCGTATTCCATCCAAAACTCTGACAGTGCAATATTTGGTTCTGTTTGTGCTGTCTCACTGCTTCCATTCCCGGATTTTCACTCACTTTCGTTTCTGCGTGTCCAGAGCATCGTATTCTGTCCGTATTGCTATTCGCATCCACCGTTCGAAAACATGCTCAAAGCATCCGGTTGTGACCGATGCCCGCATCCCAGCTGTCCGCAATCGATGCACACGCGCGGTGTGGATGCGTGTCCCGAGTGCCAGTACGGAATCATGATTTTGGATGACTCGTGTGCCCCGAAATATCGTTTTAACTGCAACCGGTCAGTTCCCGTACCTGCGTGTTTCCCCCCAGGCCCTCATGTACTTGTGGCATTATTTTGCAATAGAATTTGGTGATGAAACTGAATCCAAGTCCGCAATCGAACAGTCTGTTGTTAATCCTCCATTGCCAACAGTTATCAGATTGTTTATCTTTTGTCTTTTTCTTTTACTTCCTTTTTATTGATTATACAAATATACAATTTTCGGGAAGGGGTAAACGGCCAATCAAAGGGCTGCCATAAAATACACAAATGGAGAAAATCAGGTGATGGTGGTGGGATTCGAACACTCGTCCTCCGGGGGGATAATTTGGTGACGTTAC